ATTTGAGAACGAATGGCGGCCATTTTGTCTGTCAGTTTTGGGCCGATTTTCACGAATTTCGAACTCAGTCATCCTTAGGGTGTAACGGTGATATAATAATATAAAATCAGGGGCCATAATTCAGAAAGTTACGTTCCAATATGCACGAATATCGAAAGGAACCGAGATCTTTGGGTTATAAGCACACATTTCAAGTTTAAACCAAATCGCATAAAAATTGTAACCTCTACAGTTTTCACAAGCTAAAACGTGATTTTTCGTGCAATCAGGGGCCATAATCCATGAAGTTACGGTCCCATACATGCCAATATCGAAAGGAACCAAGATCTTAGGGTGATAAACCTATATTTCAAGTTTCATTGAAATCGGATAAAAATTGTGACCTGTAGACTGTTCACAAACAATTGTGGACGGACGGACGGGGGCGACGACAATATAAGTCCACATGAAAATGTGGGCGTATAAAAACTGATATAACTAAAAGAGTGTGCCCTTTAAAGGCACAAAAAAGTGTGAGCTCAGTGAATGGATCTGGGGACCAGCCGTAAGCGTCCACTGCGCTGTACAGTCCCGGGCCTGTAGTGACACAGACTTCACTCAAATTTGAAAACAATCAGGAATACAAAAAAGATGTAACAGAAATAATGCGACCAATCTTGACCGTGGTCGTCTCCTCAATGGCGATAGTATGCCAGTTAACGTCATGAGTTAGAACGTCAAACAATTTTAACAATAAGGGCGATAATCCGGATAGAATCTCGGAAAACGCTAAAATATTAAGTGTAGTGAGAAAATTGGAGCAAAACCTGACAACAAGAACATTCTGCAGTACGAAGGGTTAAAACTCTACTCTAATAGTAAGTGCAGGAGGACGTAAACCAAAATCTACAAGATAAACAAATATCAAATCGAGTCAATGGATCTAGGGGTCAGTCGTAAGCGTCCACTGCGCTGTGCAGTCCTGGGCCTGTAGTGACACAGACTTCACTCAAATTTGAAAACAATCAGGAATACAAAAAAGACGTAACAGAAATAATGCGACCAATCTTGACAGTGGTCATCTCCTCAATGACCCTTTAAAGTTGCACAAAACATCTAGATCAGTTTTTTTTAATTTCGATTTCGTTTTGGGGCTATTTCGACAATAAGGTGGAAAAAGTTGTAAAATTAAGCTATTTACAACCTATTCAGCATCTTCATATTTTAAAACTGAAAAGGTGTGCCCTTTAAAGTCGCACAAAACATCGAGATCAGTTTTTGAATTTCGTTTTTGGGCTATTTCGAATATAAGGTAAACCAGCGGCTGCCAGGCAGGATACGTCCACATTTTGCAAGAGATGGATAGAGAAAAAGCTAAAAACAAACAGGATTTTTTGTACAAACAGGGGCAATAATCCAGAAAGTTATGGTCTGAAAGCGCAAATATCAAATGGGACTGAGATCTTTGGGATATAAAGATACGTTTTAAGTTTCATCAAAATCGAATAAAAATTGTGACCTCTAGAGGTTCCACAGCCTTCATATTGCATACTTTTACACAATTTGCGTACAAAGAGCGGCCATTTGTTCAGGCAGTTTCATTTCGATTTTCTCGAAATTCGAATTCTACCTTAATTATGGTGGAATGGTGATATATTTCAACGTTTTTTGAAATCGTCATCAAAATCGGATCAAAATTGTGACCTCTAGAGGGTCCACAACCTTGATATACCAGATGTTATACACTATTTGCGTATGAGGAGCCGCCATTTTGTCCGCCATTTTTCGTCCAATTTTCACGAAATTTGAACTTAACCAAAATTATGGTGTAACGTTGACATATTTGAACGTTTTTTTAAATCGGATAATAATTGTGAGCTCTCGAGGGACCTAAAAATGCGATTTTTCGTCAAATCAGGGGCCATAATTCAGGAAGTTATGATCCGATATGCGAATATCAACAGGAACCAAGATCTTTGAGTTATAAACTTATATTTCAAGTTTTATCAAAATCAGAAGAAAATTGTGACCTCTAGAGGGTCCACAACCTTGGTATACCATATTTTTACACTATTTGAGTACAAGGGGCGCTCATTTTGTCTGTAAGTTTTGGTCCGATTTTTACGAAATTCAAACTCAACTACCCTTAGGGTGTAACGGTGATATATTCAAATGTTTTTTTAAATCGGATAAAAATTATGACCTCTATTGGGTCCACAACCTTGGTATACCATATTTTTACACTATTTGAGTACGAGGGGCGGTCATTTTGTCTGTAAGTTTTGGTCCGCTTTTTACGAAATTCGAACTCAACTACCCTTAGGGTGTAACGGTGATATATTCAAATGTTTTTTTTAAATCGGATAAAAATTATGACCTCTATTGGGTCCACAAGCTAAAAACGTTGATTTTTAGTACAATCATGGGTTATAAAGCTACATTTCAAGTTCCAACATACCCATAACAGGGATTTTTTTTTTCAAACATGACAAGCTGACTAGGTTATCTTATACTATACTGTTGCAATTTAGGTGCACAGATTCACACAAAATTATTCCCTTCTATTTTGGCATTGTTTGTTTACCTCATTTATTCATTTAGTCTGAGACCGACTGCGGTGAGCACTTTTTTTGAGACCGACTATTTTTTTACCATTGGGAAAACATTTCTTAGAACAACATACAACAGAATAAGAGTGCAAAACATTTTTTCAAACATGACAAGCAGACATGATTATTTTATACTAAAGTTTTGTGTGACGTATCTTAATTTTGAGACCGACTGCAGTGACTGCACCTATTTTGAGACCGACTATTTTTCTCCCTGGGGGAAATTTTGTTCTTAGACCAACATACTCACAACAGAATAAGAGTGAAACACATTTTTTCAAACATGATAAGTTGACAAGGTTATTTTATATTAAAGTTTTGCTTGAGTAGCGTGACGTATGCAGTGAGCACTTATTTTGATACCGACTGCTCTTATTTTGCAACCGACTGCACTGATTTTGCAACCGACTAACATGTTCAGGTTAACTTTACACAGTGACAATGTAATCGTAAATAAACAACAAGATTATGGACATGTTAACAATTGTATACAGAGTCAGTTAAAAGCCTGATTAAATAAATGTGTTTTAAGTTGTTTTTTTAAAAGAATATAGAGATGTACAACATCTTAAACTAAATGTTACATTATTCCATAAAGAAGGTGCTTGATAACTAAAAGAGCGCTGACCATAAGAGACTAGTTGAACAGTTTTGGGCTTAAAAAGTAGTTTATCTGATGTACGTAATGTTCGGCCAGATGTAATAAAGGTCTAAAAGATCTGAGAGGTAAACAGTAGATAAATTATTTAAACATTTAAAAGAAAGTAATAAAATCTTAAAATCAATTTGATATTTAACAGGTAACCAGCGTAAATTATATAAAACAGGAGTTATGTGGTCGCATTTCTTAGTTAAATTAACAAGTCTAGTTGCAGTATTCTCATACTCCCCACAGTGTTTAGTTTAATTAAAGCTAATCCCACTAAACACTGCTTTAATGGAAGCAAATTTCTGTTCCAAATTATGACTGGTCAATAGTCCGATTAACAACCAATATCTAACTGCGTAACAATGTCATTACGCTTTAAACAGAGCTCCCAATTGAACCAAATATGTTTACATAACGTTACGTCATGTCTCACTATTTTATTATGCCCAATTAACCAGTGCATAGCAGAATATTGCAGAAAAACAAATAGCATGACAAAAGAGACTATCAACACGGACACAATGTAAACAATATTGTATGGAAACGAACAAGACTTTCATCGTTTCTAATACCTTAAATCATCGTTTTAGGGAAAACCCTAGATTAAACGAAGGGCTGTCATGTTGCTGCACTTGGGATAGATATGACTGAACAGGAAGAATAGACACACTCGCTCAAAAGCTCAGGTATCAGAGGCCGATGCAGCAATGGCCAGAGAGAGATTTCTCGGGCCATTGCTTCAGGAATATACAGTATTCTGTACTTTTTGTAATTCATCTATAAGCTTTAAAGGTAAACCAACTAAAAGTGAATAAAAGTTATCTAAACGAGAAGTGACCAGAGAATTAACAAGTTACCTAGTGGCCTGTACAGTTACAAATTTACGTATTTTACCGATATTTCTGATATTAAAATAGCACAATTTACAAATATTATTTACTTGAGAACCCATAAGCATAAAACTAACAAAGATTGTGCCAATATTACGAGCAGAATAAGATGGGAATATATCACAATTACCAAATACCCACAGGGGGGTTATCATGAGCAAATTTACTTAATTGATGCCTTAAATTGTCAATTATTATTCGATTTTCATAAAATTTTCACCATGTGATGCCTTATGCCATTTATGATTTCATAGAACTAGTTTAACATGTTCATTATCACCGGAAGTAATGTCATTTTGGCAAAAACTGTAATTTTAGCCTTCAAAACAAATATTTTCTTTGAGGTGAGTTATAGTTATTATCCGTTTAACATTATGATATTTAATTCCAATGAACATGTAGATTGGATCAATACGATCATATAGATGTCCAAAGTTTTCTTCTAGCATATTCCCTTGTCGAGAAATAACCAATTTTGTCAGGATCCTTTTCAAGATTTTTTCCGCATTTTAATTTCCATAAGAAAGTCAGCTAACTTAGCGGTAAGTTAGTAACACATGGTAACAAATATATAAATGGAATTGATATTGCTGGGTCTCTGTCCATTTTATAACACATGTGCAATGCTTATGTGGAAATCTGTTTAACGGTTTCATTGGTACTGGAAGTGACGTAAGTTCAACGGTAATGTGGCAACGGAAGTGACATAAGTTCAACGGTAACGTGGCACCGGCGAAACCCATCATTACTACATCGCAGTTCTAGTTCATTTTATAATGTGCTTGAATAAACAAACAAACATAAGAATTTTCTTGATCACTATGAATAATTTACGCTGGAGTGACTGAGACTGTTACAATTACAACAACATACCTACACCACCAGCCCACTGACCACCTCCAACATGGGGTTCATTCATTGGATCTTCTTTACCGTGTTTAGGTTCAATATCTTTGTGGTCCCGCCCACTTTCACGTTCTACATTTAACTGTAAAATGCAAACTTATGGATAAGATCAAATTAAACTGATTACTCCTTAAATGTGAATATTGGGCATTTAAAAGAAAAAAGCATACTTTGCATGAGCTAACAAAGTATATGTCTGTTTTCCCATCATTTACACAGACTCAAAAATAAACACATGTATACATTTTAAAAACAAACCTGAATCTTAATACTAATTCCCAGCAAAATTTGCCCAAATTACTTTATCACATGTACATATGATAACTTTCTAAAATGTTCATTTTACTTGAGAAAACAAATATGAGGTAATAAGACTTGAGTGCGGAAAAGTATCACAATGTCCTTCAGAAACAAAGAGCACTACGGAAGTCAATGGCATAAGGACACTAGACTCTCAACGTAGGATTTTTCAAATTTGCTTCCAATTTTATAAAGAGAAGGCGGAAACATTGCTGACTACTTTTTCATTTTTGACACTATGATGATGGAGGTCAAATGATCTTATTCACATAAATGTCTTTCTTTACCTGTAATGGACGTGTATCTTCATGACCAATCATATTTCTCCATTCATTTAGAGATCTTTCAAGATGGCTGACAGAAGTTTCCCATAGACGGACACTTCCACCGATATCCACAGTAACCAGACCATCATTGCTCATTGGCGCCATGAAAACATTAACATCAGATGTATCAAACAACCAGGATGCATATGGTGATATTCTTACAGCCCTACAATAAACATTTGTTCACCCATTATTTATTGCCAAATATGTGCATTATTTAGTAAAGCTACACCAAATTGAATTTTTGATTATCAGGAACACCAATTAATATTTTTTTTCCTATTTCTCATGGAAAAAAGATAACTGCTTCCTCAACTAAATGACACTTAGCACCAGATGTCTTTTAACAAGCTTTTTTTTTCACTCCTGTGTCTATTAATCGCAACGCATACAATAATGTAATATGAATGTATATAAATTGATTTACATTCAATCGTTTCTGTTTTTACTGTAATTTCTAATCAGGTTTGGCAAAATACGCCAGTATTCTCAATCGAATTCCAATCTCTAGCGTCTAGTTATTCCAGTCTACGCCGATAGTATTTATTGGGCATGCTCTCCAGATAAGTATATAGCGTCACCGTTTGACATGACATGTGGAATATGCCTAGCCTCGTTTTTCGAGTCCTGTATTAAAAATAGCGCTGAAACGCATCATGGTACACGATTCGTGTACCAATTGTAAAATGTTTATTTTGTCTTAAATATTGGATATCAGAAGGCCACCTTTTCCTGATAAGATCACAACATCAATGTTGATTTAAACCGACAAATAAATCGTGTTTTCAATGTCGAAGATTTTGGATGATATTGAGTTAAGAGACTTAGCTACTGAAATATTTTCATATTTTCCCTGGTTTTTCACCACACCCCAGTTTAATCATAAAGAATAGTTTGGTGCTTGATGCATGTTCTAGTCCTAATCATTCCAGCCCAAATTGCCGCCATAGTCTGGGCAAGATATAGCAGCCATAAGTACATTATTTGCAATAGAAAACTAGTGTTTTTTATTGAGTTAAACAGTCAACATGTCATAACAGTCATAAAATTCAATAGAGCACTTCCTTTAAGCCCCAATAGATAATCCCATAAAGTTTTTATAAAATTCCACCAGGAACTTTGTCCTATGTCACATTCATAAAAATTCAACAAGGTTCTTCCTTTATAATTTATAATTACTCCTGTAATATAACTGGAATCAGCAAAAAGAAATTTATGATTGGAAAATTTGGAAATTCAATACCGGTAGGTTTCTTCTTTAGATCACAATGTGAAACTTACCCAGGAATAGGAACATATCGTAATTTATGGCTGGCTAAATCACAAACTTCTAAATAACCACCTAAATCCTTCACTTTATTCTCTGTAATATTAATACAACAATTCTATCAATCATTCACAAAATATAAAGGTATCTGATTTTACATCATTTAAAATTCTTACCATAAACTAGGAAGCACACCATTGCAATGGTCACCTAAATCCCAATCTAGGTGCATATTTTATTGCTCTACTCAACCTTCCGTAATTGCTCTCCCCAAATGCATATTTTTATTTCCACAAAAAATGTCAGAAATTGCCAAAAATGTATTGTTCAACCTCGGCGGTTGTTATTCAAGTTTACTTCTTACTGACTTCCCATTAATTAGCTCTGTACCGATGTCAATCGTGATCACACAATACTTTAATCTGTACTCCTTTTCCTTTGTAAGAATCGGTCACATACGTGGTTGCCATCACGCTATTTTAATAATTTTCCAAAGAAGACCTGATAATAATACATGGAAGACAACTGCCCAGCCTATGGACGAGAGATAGAGCTATCGGTGAATTTTAAAATACTCTTTTATAACATAGATGAACAATGTTTAGACATCATGAACTACCTGTATTCTTATCATGGACGTTTTGCTTACATTTTCTACCGTATAAACGAAGTTAGGTAATTATTGAGGAATATTATTAACATGAACTTAAAGCTGGTATGTGAATTGAATGTAGAAAATACCGAGGTGCATCTATTTGTCTTGATTATTTAAAATATACAAGAAACGAACAGTCAACATAATACATACCATCACCAAAGACATGTTTTGGTACTTTCCAGACAGGAAGAGCTTGGATTATCTGCCCTGATTCTGGTAAATAGGCAACTCCCGATCTTGGATCTGGTGCAGGTGGTTTCGCCAATATTTTAAAGAAGGGATCTTTGATAGAGGGTGTAGTGCTTGTTTCTGGTAGAGGTTCTCGTGAACTGGTGTGAACTTCACAAGATGTCTGCAAAATTTTGATGCGATTGCATTTTGAGGATTTGCAGAGCAAAGATGATTGGATGTTGATAGACATACTCAAGAAGTGCTATTGGAATAAATGTTTCCCTGCCAAAGATTTTATTTGTCCACAGATTTTACAGACATAATTACAGCTTTGTTTCACAAGAAAAATCAGGTAAATTGACTAAAAATAAAGCTATTTCAGTTGAAAAAAACAAACAAAAATAACTGTCATTCAATGTTCTATGCTAAAATTTGTACTTGACATACAACATAGGTTAGTAAACACAAGAGATAGCAAGTTTATATGTTGGTAAGCTGAATTTCTTATTCCTCAACAGATGGTTTCGGAAATGAATCTCACAAACCATAACTTTTGAGTAAACACAAGAGTACTTCAAACATCAACGAATAAATATGCCCATTCTAAATGAATAAACATGTATCTCTACCGATTCTTGCAACTGAAACAAATATGTGACCAGCATAGGCGATACTTGGGTGAACAAAATCTAAATAGAGCTATGCATAAATTGAACTTCTATGTTCAAAGGCCTCTAAACTGATAAAAATAATGTGACATACGCACATATATTTCTAAAAATGGTTGGGAACATATCAAACATATCTTTGCAGTTGGTATACCACCATAACAATTGTTTACTGAAAAAGCCATGAGGAAATTACAGGAAAAGGCAAGCAAGACTCTGTAGAAACCAAAAACAGCATTGTGCATTTCTGATAAGTTATTAACCAAGACAGTTTTAAAAATAAATATGCTGGAAACTCAAAACCAGTCACAGAAAAAACTTATTATGATTTGTGCTCTATACAACATGGAGCCAGTGGCTTGTGTCTTATAAAGAAGATGGTCACAATCCATATGTGACGAAACTTAATTCCATATCAAGTGAAGACAACTCTTTCAATTCAGACTGTTCCTGACACACAAAAGATATTTTACGTACCAAATCAGGGAAGCCAACTAAGACTGAAGCATAAGAAAATGGTGTAGAATAAACTCTATTAGGACTACTGATCTGTTCACCAAGGGCTTTACTTAACACACTATCTGATAATGGTATGGTCGACATTAAACTAAACTTAGATTCTACTTCATCTAAAATATAAAACATAACTTATATACAAACATAGTTTCTTGAATAACATTAACTATTTCTTGGGAAGAAAAATAACTTCCAATGACAATATATTATGCACAAAACTTGTCAAATCCTGAAGGTTCTTCTCAACCGATGCTGGGAGCCACAGTGGCTCAGTGAGTAAGACATTGGCTCTCTAACCCGGAGGTTCTGTGTTTGAGATCTGCGTTGACCGAGTAAGTTCATTTGGATTTTCTGCTGTGGTTCCTCCTTGTCAGTGGTACGGGACCAAGGGCCTGGCAAGGGACAACATATAGTCGTTAGGATGGGATGAAAATCCAAGGTCCTGTGTACACATTAGCGTGTACATTGGCAGTTGGAATTCAATATAAGGGTAGGCAATATCATTTCATTTCATTTCGAACTATGCTGAGATTCAAACCCGAGAAATTCAGGTTGTGAATCAAATGTCCTACACTCAGCCACCACACTTTTAATGTTAAATTGAAATGAAAGCAACTTGCCAATTTCTTCTGTAATTGGACGTAGTGTAAATTCATCAATACTAATTCGATCTAGAAGATATTTCCTGTAATTATACAAAATGTAATATCAGTATTATTATAATGTATTTCGTTCTGATGTTCTAAAGTTATGTCAGGTAAACAGTGAGTTTAACTGTGCGCGAATTAAAGTCTTATCGACATATTTTTGGTAATTAACAGACTAATTAATTACTCAACACTGTTAGTGCAAGTAAACAGTTGTAAAGCCAACACTCATTATCTAATCTAGATGGACAATTTTAAACAATGCAACTGTAGGAACACAATACTTTTCAATGATTCTCACCAAATTTGAACAATTTGCCTACAATTGACCTATCCGACTCCGCTCACAATAAGGCTTTGACCAATCAGCTCCAATTACAGTTTCCCACGAAATGACGTCGCGTTACCATGCTTCATCACCTTAGAAAACTACGTATGAATTTTGACATTTTGTCGTGCGTTGAAATGTCGTCAATCATGGCTAAACATTGGTCACAAGGACATCGTAACAGCGATAGCTGCTATCCAGGCAGGTTAAAGGATGGTGTAGTGTGCATTCCCTTCCCGAAACAGTTATATAATGGATAAGAGTCAAGAGTCAAGACTGTTGTAGAAGTCACTCCCAGTTAAATGTAGGCCTAAACAAACGTCAATTCTAACAGGTCAAGTGTATTCCAAGGTAAGTAAATTATTTTTTTTGAGGCCAAAAAACATTTAATTTTATGTAAACTATTCCAAGGGTAATAAATATGTTGTCATTTAGCCAAATAACAATAAAATGTTATGTAATCTACACCTTTAGATTACGGAGCAACCTGTGTACTGTAGTGTATGTTACTGACACTGCCCCATCTTGTTTTATGGTATTTTTACGAGTTATCTCACATTATTCCATAACATTCATTCAGTTCATACACTTCTCAGTTCCCATTCCATATTGCAGAATTCGCCCACAAAGTAGAAATTTCTATGCCCACCCCTTCCAGCTTCAAAGCCCACGGTTGGCTAAGCCTAGACAACCTAACCGGACGGTCAGTACGCTCTTATACTCTATAGGCCTATTACCACAATCAAATGATGGCTACACTAGAGGCCTAGGCCTAATTCTAAGATGGTTTGTCAAGATAGGCAATTTAGGCTAGACAAGTTGTGCCTTCATAGGCATTATTATTGGGTTTGTTGAACTAGTACACTAGTAGTCTTAAATGTCTCTTGCTTGAGTACTTTGTATCTCAAATGACATGTTAAATCAACTGATTTTCAGCACTTTCTGAAGCTGTCTGGACCAATAGAAAATAATCCAGAACCATATTCAGCTGATCATAGTGGAAGTATAACATTAAACCAAAATTAACAAGAGCTGCAGCAATGAAAAGACAAATTGTTGATAGAGGTAAATATGCCAGCTTGTTAACTACTCTAAATAATTTTATTATCAAATCAAGGGTTCACAAGGGACATTAATACAGATCATACAAAGATAGAAAAGCATTACTGATTATTCCCATTTTTCTTGTTACTAGGCCTATTCTTTCCAAATAAATTTTTCCACTGAAAATTTGTTGTTTTGTCTTGCTAGTCATATCAATGTGAAATTTAAAAGTAAATATTCATCATTTAATTTCGTGACACAAATTTGTTGGGTTTCTTTGAAAAACTCTGATATAAAATAGCATGTTTTGATTTTTGATGCTGGTGTCAATTATGTGGAATCATACTGCAATTTCAATGGATAAGCTTAAACATCTTGTATATTATTTCAAAAATATGTAAAGTTCCCTTTAGGCCTATTTTATAATCAGTCTATAATTACTTCTTTATTCTTTTACAGCTACTATTCCTGAAGAAGAAAAAAAAATACCAAGAATAAACAAAAAATGTACTGGTATTTTGCTTAATGTAAATAATCTACCAAACCACATATATGCTAATTCTTCAAACTCTTACTTTACAAAGAAATTTAACATGTGATTTCACAATTTCACTCTCTGCAAAGTCTGTTTCCTTTTGATTCAGAACATACATTATAAAACTGTTTACATCTAGTCATTTAGATGTAGCCTAAACACTGTACATGTATTTTTAAATAAATAATATTTTATAAATTAATACTTTTGACTATTACTTACCGGTATCTACAACCTTGAAGTGTATTCTTTCACGAAATATCGAAATGATATTGTGTTGATAATGTGGATGCAGATTACTGCAAAAGGATCAATCTTGTCACCACTTAGTCTTAGGCTTTTCTTCATTGTTGTGTTAGTGATGTACATGGGGGGAAAAAACTGAATCCCGTCATTTGACAGTGTTGGGAGTGCAATCACAAGCCCGACAGCAAGGGAGCAGTAGCCACACATCCTGCAAATTAAATCATCATGATAAAAAGAAAATCTTGGCATGTTTTCTCTATTTAACAAGTTGAAAGGAACATAATATGGGGTGGCCTGGGCCTATTATAGACATACTGCATCAGTTATAAAACGTGTATATATTCACTGCCTAAAGTTTTGGTATTTCACTATAGTATAAGTAATAGTATTATTACAAGTCACGACAGTAATGTAACTTTGTGTTTAGGATGGCCTACTAGTACTAGGCCTTATCTTATAGGCCTTGCAATCTACAGAAGTACCTATAGCCAACCTTGGTTTTCTCTAAATTTATATCAAATCCAGACCAGACTATGCTAAACAACTATGATGATCCTTATTAATTTAAAAATTGCCAGACGACAGAATGTCATACGTTATATATTATACATATGAACTACGATACTTGTAATTGTATGTAAAATCCCTCATTACGTTTCGCTAACTTTTATTAACTCAACCATGCTTACATATATCGACATAAGTGATAGTAAACAAGTAGAATTTGCTTACCTAGTCTGGCAGCAACAATGGTAGCCTTGTTACTTTCTTTAAAGGAAATAAATATGGTTTCTCGTCATATATATCTCTTGCCTGTTCGGACTTCAGTGACACATTGATGGTTGATCTGCCAATTGCCTAAAACAGGTTCACGTTAGGAAAATATCCTTCATTATAGTACCTGGAGCACTGCAATGCTTCTTTACTTCAAACTAACAATACACTTCTCTTTCAAAAATTACCAAAAACGTAGCGGGAAGGTCCAAAAGATTGGCACAAGATTGAACGTCATTCAGCCATTGCCATGCTTGTTTATGTCTAAGGCGCGTCAATGTTGTCTAAGGTGACGTCATTATAAAAAGTGGGAGGAGCTACAGGTCTCTGACGGAAAGGTCAATTAATGGTGTGTGTGAAATAGCTTTATTTAACATTCCCTTCCACTGAAGTGATATCGCCGACAATTACATTATTATGTGGTACTTATTTACATTTTTAGACATAAACATTAAATATAGCGGCAACTCCAACTAAAATACGAGGGCTGGCTGATATTCAACCACAACTGGTTGGTTTTGTGTATTCAATGTTAATGGGTCATGTTTTAACTCTAGTAGTGTAATGTTTTACAGCTTGTTACAAGTACACCTGGTAATTAATGATTACTGTATAATGATGATTTCTAACCACTTTCTATACATACTTAACATCAAACTTGCAGACCTCTAATAGTTTAATGGCCAAAATACTCAAAAGTAAAAGGCCTCAATTTGTAAGTGAATTGTATCAGTCTATAAGTGAATGGTATCAGTTCCACAGCGTAAGCGAGTAGTATGGATATACAACTTGGATTTGGCGAGGGGTAGAGGCATGTACAGAATCCAAAATGTCAAAGTTACTGTAAGGACGATTTTGAGGAATATCTAACACATCAAAATAATTATGTCATTACTACGAGGGCTGACTAAAAAGTTCCAAGCCTATCTGTGAAAAACCTGTAGAAAGTCGATGGTTTCCATTTATTTTTTTACATAGTCTGCTTCGAAGTGTACACACTTTTGCCAACGATGTTGCAAGGCCTGGAAGCTGGTCAGGAAGCATGTTTCTTCAACCACTCTAAATAAGTCGTTCACAGCTGGCATGACATCATCATTACTAGGAAAATCATGACCAGATAGTTTCATCAGTTTTGGAAACAGGTGGAAGTCTGACGGGGCCAAATCTGACCCAAAAATTATCAGGATCTGCTTTAAAATGACGCAGATTGTCACAGGATATCAGGAATCTGACACGTTTCGGATCCGCGGTCAGGAGCTTTGGCATCCATCTTGCAGAAACTTTTGTCGTTCCTAACTCGTTGGCAATATGTTGAGTGGTCAATCGTTGATCAGCCATCACCATGTCATGCACCCGGGTAACATTTTCTTGAATGGTCAAAGCTTTCTCTGCCACACTTAAATTCTGCAGCCCACGTCTTTACTGTGGAAAAAGAAGGACATCATCCATAGCTGTACAGTCATCAGCTTAACTCGGCTTCATAGAATGTAGCTTACGGAATTATGGAATGTCAAAATGGCGGGGGAAAAGCCGAAAATGTTGAATAGGAGGGACAAATTACTATTTATTTCACATAAAAGAAGTGATACCATAATTTAAAGTTTAGAGAAGAAGGTAATGACCTTTTTACATACAAACATCTGTCTACATATTGTTTATAGATGTAGAAATTCAGCAAATCCGTTGCCGGTGAAAATTTTATGCAAACGTAAACACAATATTATGACTAACAGGAACTAACGAAAGGTAAAATAAAAGATTACATGTCATTTCAGTCTCACCGCATTTCGGAATTATGACATTTCGAACTAAAAAAAAATATGGCCTTGACGTTTCGGACTTGGGCAGGTGACATTTCGGACTCAGGTAGGGGACGTTTCGAACTTGGGAATAAGTTGGAAATAAAGGTTGAACACAACTGTCAAATCATAGATAGCAGTACCAATCGATAAATTAGTGCGTACAAATAAAGAATTTTGAAACTCTATAAATGTGTTCTCTTTTACTTCAGTTCATGTGGGAAACCTGACATCCTGTGTACGAACCCGAACTTCCGGTTTGCATAAGAGCCGGTCACTCCCGACACTCAAGTGTAAATCGGGTACAACCCGTCCTGTTACACTATGATTTATTCAATGATTGTACTTGTTTGTGGCAAAAGTTTGCTTCAACCCAACCGATCTTTTCTTTTCAGCTTAAAACTCTTCAGGCAGTCCTTGAAGCACAACTACACGATACCCAAGCTCTAGTGTATTTTTATACCCACAATGAAGAATTATTATCTGCCAACACCCATGGACTATCTGACACTGTCCACAACCACTGACTATCTCATACTGTCAACAACCACTGACTATCTCACACTGACAACATGGTGACTATATTTAAACCTACCGTGTAGATTTAGTTTCTGTCAACATCCACTGACTATCTGATACTGATAACATGGTGGCTATATTTATAGGTGTAGAGATTGTGTGAGATATACCTTCTAAAACATTCAATATCTCTATACAGGATCTGTAATAAACATATATAAAATTAGGACTATTAAATTTGGCAATATTCTTAAAGAGTAAACAATAAAGTGGGGGACCCCTCGGGACTACATCTTATCGTTAATGCCATCCGGTGCAAATGTTCTTAAAGTGTGAATCCATTTGAATTCATTGGCTTTCCTTACGGCATCGTTTTTGCCGTTATCTGGGTCAGTCTTAAAAAGCTCTATAATTTTAATCATAACATTTCTACTCATATGTCTATCTAAGTTGAAGTGTAGTGCGACCGGCTTTGGCCTGTTGTGTCTAATATCTACATAGTGTTCTTTTATTCGTTTTGAAAAGACACGTTTGCTTTCTCCTACGTAGGCTACGTATCGTTTTTTGGAGGAGCATGTTAATAGGTAGTCTATATTTCTACTTAAACAATTATAGCCCGTGCGGCAAAAATATTTCTTGCCAGTTTTACCACTAATAAAGTAGTTATTTTGGTCTAATTTGTAGCAGATATCACAGTCCTTCTTGATACTCAAGACTCATAATAAATTGCACAATTTTAATGCAAAATTACTGTATATAGAGTAATATCTTACCCATCTTCTTTATAAAATACAATATTACCATACATATCTGTACTAGGCTTGCAGCACATCTTAAATCTATTCTAAAAGAACAAAATGTTAATGACTATATCTAGCTGTTGCCCTGCACTGCACTGTTACATTTTATCTCCATTTTTTTTAACATTCTTAATTAATAAAAAAATCATCATTAAGTGTCATTTTCATCATTAAATACTGCATCAAATACAAAATAATTAGCACCATTAAATTTATTGTAAATAAAATGGCTACCATGATGTAAAATGATATACTAACACTGGGTTTAGGAGATGAAGTAGGGAAACATCGCTTTTCTATTGGTGTTTCTGGTAAACCTGAACATATTAGTCTTGTTATCTGTCCAACTTCCATATTCACATTTAAAACAACATTTGTCTGCAAATAATATACACATATACAACATATAATAATTTGGTTTATGTTTATTATTTTTCAAGATGAAAGTTACTAAATGCTCATATTAAATTGTGGGCAACTATATGTTGCCATTTAACACAATGATAGGGTGCCCTACCATAAATAAATATTACCAAATATTTTGACAATTATACCACAATATACATATAGATAACAAGCCTTAAAATTATTTTCTAACATAACACTATAACTCAGGTATCATTTAGCCCTAATTCATTTATATATAAAATCGTCTAAAATACACTATAATATCCAAGATTAAATGATACCTGGGTTAGTGTAAGCTTTGTTAAAAGGCATAAGAAACAACAAGATTGATCCCATTATTATACGCCCACATTTTCATGTGGACATGTACATGTCGCACC